TAATAATAATAATAATAATAATAATAATAATAATAATAATAATAATTCTGAATCGCTAAAGTGAAATCCTTAGGATTTTAACTTTTCAATCGTGTGATCACTTCGATCGATTAATATTTATCAGTAATCATAAAAGTGCAGTTAGACCTTCTCCATCTCGCCAACAGCCTGCTCTGTCTGCTGTTTTCCTTGTCAACAGAAACCACAAAGGATCGTTACTGGCTGACAGTGATGAATGAGCTGTAACTGGTTCAGTGGATCTATCTATTTATTTAAAATGTGTAGTTTCTGTATGCATGTATTTTCTCTTGTGGTGCTGATAAAGAGCCATGAAACCAGTGGGCAAAAACCTTAAAAATCAAAAATTTTGAGTGTCTCATTAATAACGATGGGATTTATTCACGTTTTCATAAACGAAGTGACTCTGCCGTTTACCCCCCGTTAAACAATTCTCTCTGTCACACGCACGCACGCTAACACATCCCAGCATTACACACCGTATAGACCAAAGCTTTTACCAAATTCTACGGGCCGCTGCGTCTCCAACTTGGCGTGATTTCCTTAAATTTTGAAGCCCAGCATCCACCATTTCTGTCTCCATTAAACGAATACTGCGAGACAACTGCAATCCCGTCTCGAACTGTAGCCGGCTACGTGACCTGCTCCATCGAGTAATGCTGCTGCTTAAACCATCGTCCCCAGTCCCCACACTGACCATTCCTGTCTGATTTTTCAAAGCAAAAAAAAAAAGTAAATTGAAATGATAACGCTGGTCCCCTCTTTACAATAAACACTTAGGCTCCATCTTTTGTTTGTCTTTCTCAATTAAGTCTTATTTAGGTTTTCTTGTGTTGGGGTATTTAAGATACTTAAATCAAATGAGATTATACCTTCCATCAAGTCTTGTTTCCTCAACAGTTTCAGTAACTGTATAAAACACAAAGAGTAAAAACAGAATAAAGAGATGTAGTGCACAGAGAATAGAAACAACCATTTTTTCTTTTCTTTTTCTTATAAACTTGCTTTGAGTTGGGAATTTTAAAAAATGTCAATGCTTAAAGTTCACTTTAGCTTCTAGTAATCACAAGCGCAAACATGGAAAGAAACAACCAAACAAAAAGCACAAATATGTACAGCGCAACAATGAAAACTCTCAACCAGCCCTTACATTTCTGAATAACATATTTCACTGTTTTTTTGTTCGTTTTTTTGTTGTTGTTGTTGTGTGTGTGCCAGCGTGTGTGATTTTCTTCATACAGTTTCATTTGGAGGGGATGGGAATATTTAAGTTTTGGGGGGTGAAGCTGAGCACAGAAGAAAAAGACAAACATTATTAAAAATATAAATAAATAAATACATTAATTAATTAATAAATTGAGAAGATGTATCATTCTGCTTTGCTTCACTGTGGTCCTTGATGGTTCCAAGTATTTGTATTTTCTGTGCAGCTGCTCACACCAAGTTCACGTAAGTCAAAGTTTGCCGGCCACCACTGAGGTTAGGCATTTCCATGGTGATCCTCTCGAGGCTTGTGCTGTGCTGGCTTGGGCAAAGTGAGGTGGAAGTGGTCAAGTCAATGTATGGTCAGGTGGGTGTGACTTGGCAGCTGCAGTGGCAGTTCTGGTGCTGAGCTGCACAGTCAGATGGAAGAAGATCCCTGAGCCAACCATGGAGACCTAGACATACAGGAAAGTGGTTTAGCACGCATAAATTTAGGCTTGGGCCAAAACTCAACTGGCCTTCACCATACTCCAGTTAAAAATTTTCCCCTTAAACTGCAAAAGAGATGCAACTATAACAACTGTGTGGTCTTTTGCATTTCAGAAAGTACCAAAGGCGAACCAAAAATAAAACACTCATAGTTGAATTCATATGTACATACATACACACACACACACACACACACACACACACACACACACACACACACACACACAAATTTGTTAAATCTTGTGTCTTATCTTACATGAGGAAATAAAAATAGGAAAAGGGTCTTTGTCCGAAAAAATATCTTCTGGAATGAGATTGCACACTTGGTTTGATTTTAATGTTAGAATTCTGCATTTTCTAACAGAATAATGTTTTTAATTAACTCAAATTGTGCAAGGAACAACTATTGGAATTATTGGAACTTAACTGAATCTGTGTTAAATTACTTTCTGATTTTTTTTCTTTTGTCATAAACCTCATAAAAATGTGATTTTGAAATTTTTCCTATTGCATTTTGAAATCCCAAGCATGCAAAGTTTAGATGTGTAGTTCATTATTAGGCAGAAAACACTTTTTATTTATTTAAATTGCTTTAAGTTATTGGATCCTCAAGAAACGTCCTCTCATCTCGCATGTATTACTGTGAATGCACAGCAAAATGACAATAAACTTGATTTGATTTTATTTGATATGTTGGAGCCAGCTGTATTGCTATTGCAGCAGAGAGGAGAATAAAATAGTCACGATTCAGTCATGTATTCGATAATGGCTAAATGTTATGGCTTAGGTTTTATCGAGCATTTGAAAATTGTCATTTTACTCCAAATATGGCTCTCATCATTCCTGCAGTCAAGAGAAAATATACTGCTATGTTCAGCATATGCTGTTGCCACAGATCAAATTAGGGGAGGCAGGAACACTTGACTTTAAAATTAATTACTGTAACTAATAAATGATCATTCAATGAAAAATAATTGTATAAAATATTCTCAAAAATATCTATAGGTAGAATTTATTCAGATTGAGAGTATATTTTAGATGAAGCATCCCACAGCAGATTACTATCTGCTGTATGAACTTCATTAACAAAGCTGGGGGGAATAATAAGACAGGGAAGAGGGGGCTGTGCTGGTAAAAATTGGCCCAGATAAAAAAGGGAAAAAAGCAAATGCAGCTCCTATTTACATATAAAGAGCTCTATTAATCAAGGTAAGTGTCATTACAGTGTGGCTCATTGAGCAGTGGCGAGTGGGTGTTAAATAAAATTCTTTGTGCTTGAATGCCTGCGGCAAGCAATATGTCTTGATTTGAGAACTGTCAGCAGTGGTGTGGAGCTGATGGAGGCTGGAGGGGGAGGAGGGGTAGTATTACCCCAACTCTTAATCAGATTGCAGAGAGAGCAGTGATGGAGTAAAACAAAAATGGAGGAAAGGGGGACAGATTGATGGAGAAAAAGGAGTAAATGTGTGAAAATAGAGCTGTGGAAGAAAATGTTTTAACCCAGACCAAATAGAATTAGTGTGAAAAGGCAGTCTTTTAAGGGGAAAGACAGCTATAACTTCACCTTGTTGTAAGGCTTGCCTCAGTGAAGTGGATTTACATGTAGTGCCACTGTCCATCCATGCCCATATTCATACCCATACCACTTATTGGCCCTGGAATGCAAAGTAAAAAAACCTTTAAGGACCAACAACATGACAAACCAGTCACAACATAATCACTAATCTTCAGTTTTACAGAGACCATTATTCTTTACAACTACTGGCCACATCATCATCTTGTTGTTTAGATACATTTAACATAACAAAACAGAACATGTTCAGTCTATAATTGCTCATTGACAGCTGTATATAAGGAAGAGCAATGTAAAATTGCACTGTCAGCTTTAGGTAGGTTGGCTTACATGTATGTACATGTATCCACTTGTGGATACATTACACTCTGCATTTTACGCTCATCCACCAGCCTGCCCTACTTATACTGATTTTCTGCCTTGCAACATAAAAAACCTATTATTTCCTGCATTGGAACTGAACGCTGCCAGTGGATGTAAATGCTGAAATGTACTGTCATCATTATCACCATCAATATCATCATCACCAACGTAATTATATGCACAAATAGGTCACTTTGATTTCAAAGGTTCATATAATTAATAATTGAAAGGATTCTGTTCAGCGTTCAGTATGCATTTGTCATCACTCAAATTGTGCAACTAGATAAACAGACACACAAAGCAGTATTTTGCCCTTGATGTTTGGTAAATGTAAATAAGATCTTGGTCACCTCCTGGCCGGAGACCCATGTGCTGTTGCCCGTCAAGGACGAAGCCTCCCATTGGCTGGCCATCTGGACTGTAAGTTGTACCCTGACTTACTGTGAAAGGACAGCAAAAACAAGACTGTCATGGTGAATCTGCCTACTGCCACCACTCCTATTAAAGACTCAAGTCTCTTAGGACTTTGGACACAATCTGTTTCATATTTAATGCAGTTTTCATCTTGTCTCCTTTCATGGTTTACATTTCGATTTACTTGATTGGTATTTTGAAGAGAAGAAAGTATTTCGTACACTGAACACTAAACAAACTGCACCTTTACCTGCTCTGTTGGACTGGTCAATCATAGGCTGGACTATTCTCCTCCTTGCATTGATAAACCTGGAAGGTAAAAATAAATAAACGAAATTAACTCCTTGATGAACAAAAAAAAAAGTATCACACAAAAAGTTAATTAAATTGCATAAAGACAAAAACTGGAACCCCACTGTGTGTCTCCAAGGATCTCACTAATTAGCTGTTGTATTTTTTCCTATTGACATAATCTAGATTATTAGCAGAAATTCGCACAGTTTAAAAAATGTATGGATTTGGGTATAGCCCTATGGCCTCAGGCTGGGAAGTGCTTAACTGTTATACCAATATTTTGCTATTGATAATCCAGCAACCTGGTGGTATGGTGAGTTTTCATGCTTTGATATCTGGATTTGGTAGAATTTTGACTTAAGCCTGTGGTTTTCTTTGTTTATGGATTAGAGATGGGTGGCTATGTAATTAGGTGTTTTGGAAATCTGATAGACTCAAAAGCAAACTCTTCCGTGAAGACTAGCATGATAAGACAATGTCATCTTAATTAATCCAAAATTGCACCTATGCAGGCTGCTAGTTGAATTTTATTTCACAAATTTAGTCTAAAACTAAATCCAGAATGTGTGGTTGGTCCTATCTCTTACTAAGATGTCCACAAAGGCAGCTTAGCCTGGCCATGCTTTAAATTCATCTTGCCATTAATCTAAAATGACACTGTGAGGAAAAACAGGAATGTCTCCTCTTTTAAATCTTCCGTTGTTTTACCACAGTGTTGATTCCCTCTATACAGGCTTAGAGTCACCATAGTCACTATAACAAATTTGGATATACAAAGACTGCATTTAGTTGTACTCTATATATATATATATATTGTGTGTGTGTGTGTGTGTGTGTGTGTGTGTGTGTGTGTGTGTGTGTGTGTGTGTGTGTGCGTGTGTGTGCGTGTGTGCGTGTGTGTGTGTGTGTGTGTAGACATCCATGAACTACCGAATGGTACTATATGAGCAAACCAGTCATACAGATAAATGCAGAGAACTGACTCAAGATCAAGGCAATGAGGAGGGAAGTTAGCTAGCTATCAAAGCCACAGAAAGGTGTGATGAAGAAAGGATTACCAAGCACGGCATTGTATAAAACCACTGCTTAGTGACTGACAGACACTGAAAGCAGACTGCAGTAATTTCAAGAACAAGACCCAAGGACCATCATAATAGCAGCCATCCAGGAAAAAATGTCAAGAATGAAGTCAGAGACAGCACCAGGCCCCTGCCAAAAACCTGCCTTTGCACACATGGAAGCTTGTGTTGGCCATCATAGTGGCTACGATAAGTGGGCATGTGTTTAAATACATGAGCAGCGCCCAGAAAGGAATTGGTAACACCTGGAAAACCAAGCACCTGCTACTGGTAGACAGAGCAGTCACTCAATACTGTAAGACCAGAAAGAACACTTACAAAGACAGTGTACGACTCAGTGTCATACACATGGATACTGGAGTGCTTGGATATGTACAACAACAACAGGACACTGAGGGTCTTAATGAAAATCTCAATTACCACTTTCAAATATACACTCTGTTCTGTTAATCAGATGGCAACTAAACGGGTTGGCTGCACGTGTAAACGTGTACTGGTCGCTTATCTGTAAAAGCCGGCAACCTTACTAGGTCGGACCTATTAACATTTCTGCATCAATTTGAAGACGGCACATGTGTGAACTGAACCTTCGCATGAATGAATACACATGCAGAATTACTGTGAGCTGTGTGATGTGTTTAAAACACAGAATTTTTCCACACTCCAGCATCAATATTTGACCAACAACATCAGAGAGAGGCTTAATGCACAGTTTCTGTGCCAAAATCACAACACACCTTTTTCATGCACTTTGCTCTACAATTTCAAATTTGAGACAATAAAATTATATGTCCACAACAATAAAGCCTTTCTGCAATGAAGACATACACAAACAACACAAAGAACAATGATACTCACCAATAATTAATGTAATCCAAGTGTTTTTCCTCACAAGATGTTACGTTCTTCCTGCTATATAAAACTATTGGCTTTGAGCTTGTTTCATACCTGCAGCATCAGACAGCAGCAGGATTCATGTGTGTGTCTCCAAAGAGAGAGAGTTGCTCACATTGGCACATTAAACAACAGCACAGGTAACTTAATAAAATTTTTGTAACTATAAATTGTACCGAGAGCAGATCATTCCGGACCAAGACAAGACATGAGCCATTAACACATACGCCCTGCCAGTCATCAGATACCCCACTACCCCCTGGAAGGAAGAGATAGAGGCCACTGATATCAAGACAATTAAGCTCCTTACGATGCTTGAAGGGTTTCACCTTAAGTCCAGCACTGTACACTAAGCGGAAGGACGGAGGCCGAGGACTAGTGAGTGTCAAGCCCACTATCCAGGATGAAATAAACAAAGATCCAGAAATATATCAGGCAGATGTCCCCCAGTGATGACCTGCTATTGGAATATCTCAGGCAGCAGAAATCTGATAATGAGGAGGAAGATAAAGAAGAAGGACCATCATGGAAGGACAAGCCCCTACATGGTATGTACCACTGACATATAGAAGAAGTGGCTGATATCAAGAAAACATAGAGAAACATTAAGGCTGTGTACAGATGCTCCTAAGACAGTTCAGCACATGACATGACAGTGCAATGTAAGATGAATGCTAGTTCAGCATACATGGAGCGCCATACCCACGTAGCTGGCATTGTGTACAGAAACATCTGCACTGAATATGGACTGGACGTCCGAGGATCAAAATTAAAGACACCTCCAAAGTTGATAAAGAATGGCTGAGCTAACATCCCCATCCAAATTCAGACTGATAAACTGGTGGTGGCTATTCAATCAGACATTGTGGTAATCAATAAACAGAAGAAAATGTTATAGTGATAGATGTATCGATCCCAAATGACAGCAACATCAGGAAGAAGGAACCCTAGAAGCTCGAAAAATATCAAAGGATGTAGAAAATTAAGGCAACAGTGGTGCCAGTGGTGAAAGGAGCACTGTAGTTACCATATACAACCCTAACCCTAACCCTATATACCATATACATGTAGTGCAAAGATGAGCTGTGGTATTTTGACAATTAAAAAAGGCTAAATTTGATGACCATAAGCAGGCATTTTGAGATACAAGGGATTTGTTGAATATTTATTTTTGATAGATGCCAGAGATGCCTGTATTGTGGAATTCTGTAATACGTTTATAGAATTGATGTGTTCTTGTTTTTAAGTAAGTGGCAACTCTCTTACTAACCAGGGCTAATATAAAGACAGAATATGTGCTCTAAAGTAGAGTAAAATTTATGTCTAAAATGTATTTCACAGACCGCAGACATCAGTTGTGTGGGCTGCTATGACAGCAGTTAGATGGTATATTATGGTGTAAATCCAGTTTGGCAGTGACTTACCAGTTGTTCACTTGAAGAATGGTGAGACCTGTGTCTTGTGCTAGCTGCTTTTTTTGTTCTTCCGAGGGGTATGGGTGCTGCGAGAACAAAAAGAAAAAAACAATAACTAAAGAAAAGCAAAAGTCAATGCTTTAACCAAAGACAGCTTTAATTGATATAAAGCATATAGGGGCAATTTGGTACTTCAAGGAAAAATCCCTATTCAGGAACGATGATAACATTCTCACCCTGTTTCTCTCATACAAATCAATTCCTGGAAGTGGATGCACAAGCCATCCATTCATCCATTATCTATACACCGCTTAATCCTCACTAGGGTCACGAAGCGCCTGGAGTCTGTCCCAGCTGACTTAGGGCGAAGGCAGGGGACACCCTGGACAGGTCGCCAGTCTATCACAGGGCTACACTTAGAGACAGACAACCAAGCACAATCACATTCACACCTATGGACAATCTAGAATCACCAATTAACCTCAACATGTTTTTGGACTGTGTGGGAGGAAGCCGGAGAACCCGGAGAGAACCCATGCTGCATGGGGAGAAAATGCAAACTCCACGCAGAAAGATTCCGGATGTCATCACCAAGACGCAAACCAGCAACCTTCTTGCTGCGCGGCAATGATGCTAACCACCGCACCACCTTACAGCCCATGCACAAGCCAGCTCTAGTAAAATGGATGCTGACCAGAGTTTGCCCCCACCCCAAACACGTCAGGCTGAAAGCATGTGGCGTATCACAATATTTGACATTATTTGACATTGCTTGACAAATGAATGGGTGAAACAGAAAGAGGCACAACGGTGTCTTTTGATTGGGGCCTCGATGAAACCAAGCCCCATCATCCCCCCCAACTCTCCCTTCCTTGGTCCATCCCCTGTCCCCTGTCCTCTGTGTGTGAGACAGTGGAAGGAGAGTGGCAGATGGCAGACAGCGGTGACCCCTGTACTGAAAGCAGGGTCACGGGCCTGTCTCTATTCTGCTGCTGTCAGGCCAGTAGCTGCCTCCTGTGGTCATCAGTGAAGGATGAGCTTCCAAGCACTTCATTTTTGAAGTGCCTTTCAGCCTTAAGTGCACGCAGACGCGTGCGCATGCATGCACACACAAGCACAAAAAGTCAGGTTTACCGAGTTGTGGGGACATACCAAGAAAAAGCAAGAGGTGGTTAATGGCGGCCTCCTGAGTGCTGCTACTCTGTTTGAATTATGGTGACACTGGGAGTGTTGTAAGTAAGTATGTAAACAGATAAAAAGTCTACATAATTTGGACATACCAACGCGCACACACACACACACACAGACATACATATATATTTAGAACTGCAAACATTCATAAAAGCACAAGTGTACAAACAAGCTCAAACACAAGAAATTGCATACACATAGAAGCGAGAGAGAGAGCGAGAGAAGGGTTTGAATATAAAAAAGAACGTAAAGTAAAAGTATCAACCTGTTAGTGCAACCAGCTGCAAAAGCTGCATCTCTCAGTGTCTTCAAAAGTGCCATATCCCATATTATTGTTAAGTGTGTCAATGCATAAGCATTGAAGCACACTTATTGTTATTCCTACACCACTGTTTTCCCTAGAATGTGCAAATCTTTGAAGTCCCTTCCTGTTTCTCCACTCACCCATCCCAAATTGCTGATGCTCGAGCACAGTGGCTAATCCATGACTGTGTTCAAACACTGTAAAACTGCTCCGCTACACAATGTCAAGTTGTAATACCGGGGTTCACCTATACAAGTTTGACTCAGAAACCAATTCGAAGGAAAACTATTGATGGGGAAAGCAACACACTGCAAGACAACAGGATTTGTTCCTTAGGTTTGTGAGGTATAAAACCCCAGAACTCAGAATCCATGTTTTTTAAACTGTCATCAGTACGCTGCAATTTCTGAGTGATAATGTTCCACCATGACATTGATTGCTTGCTTTGGTGATATTTCTGGCATTCCAGATACACTGTATGGTCATGTTAACAAGGTAAACAAAAAACAAAAAACAAAAAAAAAAACTTGATCTTCACCAGACTGGGTCTTTAAGGTAATTGAAAGTTGTTTGAGTTTTTGTCTTTTTAGTAAATTCTTGTCAAAAAAGCCCATCTATATTGACCATGATTCGACTTGAAAGCCATTAAAAGCAGAAAATGTCCAAGGGCATTCATACTTTTTATAGGCACTGTGTGAAACTAGGATTTTTGTGCTTGATCACTAATGACACAGAGTCAGTGAGTTAGCAATTTATTTATTCAACATATATTTCCCTACAGAATAGGAGGGTCGAATGCATGTCCCCTGAAATAATTGTGTCCAGTCATTAAATACCTTCAAAAAGTTTAAAAAAAAAAAAAAAGAAGAAGCTATTTTTCTCAATATTCAGTCACAACTAACACCAAAACACAATGGAATATCACTGGATGGATTTTGGACTTTTTGGATGGACTTTCTGCTTAGTGTTGGTGTAAATGCCAACAAGTAACAATGAGCAGAATAGCTGTGCGCGTGGCTCTATGTGTGTATAAAAGATTTTGGTCATTCTGTGTCTGCGATACTGAATTTAGTCCATGTTAAATTTCATGTGGCTCATATATGACACTTGTAATCTTCAGCAGGTTCCAAGGTTGCTCTACAAACTAAAACACGGACATCAATGTTTAAATGTGGATAGATGCAGGGTTGCATGGAAACTAACAGTTACGAACAGGCTAATGGGCTGATAATGAATAATATAATGAATCTAAACCTTTCACAGCTGTTTTCTCCTAAGAGAGGGATCTTGTAAGGGTCTTCAGAATAGACGACAAAAACGGAGCGGAGGGTACCGCTACCCCGCCACACACACACACACACACACGCACACACACACACACACACAGGGCTTCCAACTGTGGGCCTCACACTGCAAAGTCTGACAAAGCATAATCCTGCTCTTTTCACAATCTCAACGACTGATGCTCAATGCTTGATCGCTTGGGTGTTGCAAAAGGCTTTTCAGAGGCCAAATTCCCCTTGCACACTTTTCATAGGCACATCCTGCCATGGTAAACACTTCTGCTTAACAAATTAGGCCTGACAGGGAATGGGGAACAGAGGGGATAATTCAGTTATCCTCCTTTTTTATCTGGAAAATCTGAAGGTGGTCTTTGGAAAGGAGGGGATTACTATGAGTACAGGAACTGTGTGGGCCTTTCACAAACAAAACACTTTAGAGGTTATAGCACATCTAAGCACATCAGAGGTAGAAAGGAGGTGACAGTAGTATCTTTTGGACCTTAGATAAAAGGCTATGCTCCACTCATAGGGACTTGCACAGCCCTCCTACAGAAAGAACCAGTACTGCTGCTTCTGAATGGAAGGCTTCTGATGTTGATTTCTGTACAACCTCTAAACTGCAATTTCAAAATGGGCCTTAAGACATGAGTCTTTGCTCCATTTATTACAATTAAAAAAGGAAATTATTAAATTGTGAAATTACCATAGGATTACTCTTACAGAAAAGAAAAATAATAGATTTTTAAAAAGCCACATCTGGATGTGGTTTGTCTGGACAAGGATCTGGGGTAGATTAATTTACCGTAAGGTGCTGGAATAACCACGCTCTCATTATATTAGTGGCCACTTTGGGGAAGATGCCTCGTTTCTTCTGCCTTTTCTTATCCTGGTCATCCTCGTCTCCTGTGCCCGGTGATGCCAGACTGTTGTCAATGCCATCTCCTGCAATCAGAGACAAGAGGAGGCATGTTATGAGAAATCTTTAATGTAACCCTGTCTCCTTCACCCTCCTTCACAAAAACGTGCCAGAAAAGGGCAAACAGAAGAAGTCTACATTCCTCTGTGGCACAGCAGCACAAGATTCTTGCTCTCACCTCTGCTTGACTCCCTGCACACTGGATAATGAAGAGGAGTTTGTAGTGTGGGAGCTCAATAAAACCAAGAGCTATTAATTCAATCTGAGCCACACATTTGACATGTGGTAATGACTGCGGGAGTCGAGTGCCTGACATGAAATAATGAGCGTTCAAACTGCTGTCATAGTGCTATATACTCTTATTTATACGTGACCTCTATTTGAAATAAGACTCATCATTTCCTAAAAGAAGAAGGAAAAAGCAAAAACTGAAGTCTATACTGTGAACGAAGTACAAACACAATGACATGAAACCCTTCTTTAAGTCAGAAGCGAGATGTTCCTTTAGGGTACTGAGGCAGAATGAGGGGGTTGAATGTGGGTGGCTCGTTAGGGCGTGAAGCTATCACCCTTGCGTTCACTGACTGATCCCTCCTTACTCCTTCCATCACCAGCACCCTGCACTATTTTGGACTATATGTAGCACAGCGTCATATTAGGTTCTGAATCCTGGCAGTAGCAGCATCCGTTTGATTTCAGCAGGAAGCTGACGTTGAATAGGGGCAGGAGACTTCCTATAAGTTGAGATTTCCGCCCCTGCAAGCTAGCTCACTCCATCTCACATCACAAGGGGCACTCTGCTCCCTCTCCCTCTCTGCCATTAATTGTGCATCAGCCAAGATGATTTACTTTTAACAGTGGTGGTTATTTTTCTTGCCCTGAGGGCAGAGAAGCCTTGAAAGCCTGCCTGGAGGGCATGTGAATAATGCATCTGAGAGACTCCTCCCCCGAGGCGGGACAGGAACCCTACTTTTCTTAAGATTTGCCCTAGCATGTCTTTTTGTTTTTAGGGATGCATCAATCAAACACGCCTATATGAGCCATATTCATGCATAAATTGTCCAGCTAATAAATATTGACAATATGTGTTCTAAGGTTGGAGGCTCTGGGGGTTGTGGGAGTTTTGATGGATGGTGTCCAGTTCTGAGTCACAGCATACAGAGGTCGTACTGTATGTCCTCTACTCTTTACTTTGTTTTGTTGTCCTACATCTCTCATACAGTCTTTTGGTCAAGTTACTTTTTTTCGTCATAGGTAACCAACAAGTTTAAATCTTTTTTATGTAAAAGCACTACATGAAGAAGAGTTGGCGGCTCAACTTCTTAAACTTTTCTCTACCAGAATGCAATGCTAAACATTTCTAAAAATATATATATATTATATCAAACCAACCACTCAGACTAAGGTGAAATAAATAATGGCAATGTAATCATTTGAACGAGCTACATATTGATGTAAGTGCATATATTTGCATCAGAAAATGTATACAAAAATGATGTTGGCAATGTAACTTCAGTTGCATATTTGTTTGAGCATTGTGAAAAAATCTTCAGGAGTAATGTCTGCTGCACATCAATCTCTACAGCAAAACTAAATAAAACAATTAAGCTTTAACCTCCCTTAACAAAGCTGACCTAATAAATGAAGAGAACCTAAATGGGAATGCAGTTATTGAGTATTTTAGTAAAAGTAATATAAATAATTAAAAATAATGCAGGGAAAATAATTCATTGTAACTGATGCAAGCACTACATATCTTTAAAAAAAGAAAGAAAGAAAGAAAGAAAGAAAGAAAGAAAGAAAGAAAGAAAGAAAAAAGAAACACTTGCTCAGCTTAATGTCTAAGGAAGGCATGGCGCTCTCCCCTCCACCCTTTATCCTCAACATTTCACCCTGATCCACCTCCTCTCTTCTAGTCTCCTCATCCTTCCTTCTTCTGCTCTGGAGAGGGGAAAGCCGCAGGGCAGATCCTTTGCTACACTAATCGCTTCTGACTGTTCCTCGGCAACTTGGCCAATCTAAACAGTGTGTGACAGTGAAGTCTCTAAGTCATACACCCGTGCAAATCTCCTATGCCCCCCACCGCCACCACCACCACTACCCCTGCCTCTGTCTCAACCCCTCACCTCCTTGCCTGCCATGTCTGCATGCGTGACACTGCGGGGGGTAGGCTGAAGGGGGAAAAATAGAAGATGGAGCGCTGGGCATTACTGCAGGGATGGCTGGAGTATTGCCCTGGGGCTAAAATGAAAAACACACAAAAAGACATCCCCCTGAGATATGAAGAGAAGTCTGCCTATCCTTTTTACCCACCTCTACCTGTGCCTCTATTTTATTCTCAAATCTGTCCAGCTGTAGGCTCATACCATTTTATATGTATCTATGTTTAGGTCAGTCTAATCCTTCCTAACTTTGTCTTTTCTTGTCTATTATGCTTTTGTTTCTCTTACATCTCCTCCTCTGCTCTCTGTGGCTCAGCAGCTGGTCCACTACAAAACAAAGCTGCTGGGTGATGTGTCCATAAGACAAAGTGTGGAACAGCTAGCAGAACTGATTGTCGCACCCCCATCAGTGATGCAAAGCAAGCAAGGCTCATCTAATGAGTTCAGCAGGGCCTGATCCATCATCAGTGACACCTCACGATTCCTCCCCTTATTAGATGTGATACACAGCACGAGACTTGTCTAGAACATTTCCAACAAGGAAAGAAACTGAGAATCCTCTACATCAACATAATGATTAGAAACTGACTGGAAAGTGGAACTGTTTTCACACTGGCACTGTCACATGGCAGTGACGGGATCAGTTGGAAAAATCAGCTAAGAAGCTGCACATGCAACTGTCTGTAAAATTAAAGTTTCTTGGGACGTTAGAGAACTTTTTGAAGGTAGTGAAGGTGACCACTTAAATTTAAGTGATTCACCACATTGTAGGTAAAAGGGTCTGTAACTGATTCTTAATTTGGTCAAGGTACACAGATGAAACTAAGACTGTAAATTCTCAGTTATGGAGGTCATGGTAATTCTAGGAGCTTCAGTAGAAAGCAGCTAGTCTTCTCTTTTAGATTCGTGAAGACATTTCACCTCTCAGGTTTTTTTTGTTTTTTTTTAGTTTTAAAGGTACACAGATGACTAAAGTGTGTATATTGTGATTTTTTGTAATCTAAGTGAACAGACCCTATAAAAATAAAACAGCATAACCCCTACCAGTTATCAGTACATAAAATACATTTTTATTTATTTATTTTTTTCAATATACATATATTTTGGGGCTATTTGCCTTTATTTAGAGCAGTTGAGCTAGAAAGGAAGGGGGGAGAAGAATGGGGAGAGACCTGCAGCAAAGGGGAGACAAACCCACGACCGCTCGTCAGGGAACTATAGGCCCTATTTATGGGTCACCCGCTCAACTCGGTGAGCTATAGGGGCGCCCTACTTCTTTACCATTTTAAAGCAAATAAATAAAAGTGAAAAAAATGTAATTTTTAAATCAATACAAAAATACATGCTTTTATTTCACTCCATATCCAGCATTGTCCATACCCCTTTCTCTCTGGCCTACCCTTTCTAATCTTACTGTCTTTTTCCTCCCTTTTTAATGTCAACAAAGTGAGAGGTGCTAAAGTGGCATTAATCTCCTGTCTCTAGGCTCTGGATGTGTGAAAAAAAAAAAAAAGAGGCAACACATCCTGTTCCTTACATTCCATTTGTGAATGTGGCCAGGATCTTTGCAAGCCACTCCTGCTGCCTATTGTTTTATTTGGGTCTTTGTGATGGACTTTTTAAGCTGCCCCTTTCCAAACAATCCTGGGATAACTCAGTCTCTTTAGCGATGGTCAACAGCAGTCTCCCTGAGGTTTGAGCTATCAAAGACAGCTCTATTTGCAAATCACACAGTACAAGGCAACAACCAAAATCTGGAAGCTTATAAAGGAGCAGGCAGCCATGAGCTAAACCACTAGCCACATAGTGGATGGATCCATTACATGTGGTTAGCCAGGGCTGAGAGCCACATCACCGCCACTTTATTATTCCCAAATGATAGTGGATTTTAAAAGGTTTCCGTGGCATCCCACTACAGTGACGGAAGCACAGTTACATGGATTTATGTGGAAACAGGTATTGCTGTGTTGAGGCATGAGATGAAACACAGTGACAGTTTTCAAATATTATACTTTTATGACTTCTGGTTTTGGTGCAGTATAAGAACAGCAAATGCTCTGGGTTACAGGGGGAAAAAACTGGCCTGTTAGCGTAACTCAAAATGTTTTGGGGATTTGGAGGTGATACTAGGTAAAGGCACAGAATTTGTGAGTGTAAAAATATGCAACACTGATTACTGTAAATGCCTAACATTAAATGTTCAATTCAGTAAAAAATCCCTTCGTCTATAACCACCAATCCAAAATAGCATATGAACATAATCATTTGGATACTTGAGATTTCAAGATGAAATTTTTTTTTTAAATCACTGTGGTCATTGCATCCATACCTACTCAGTATAGATATGAATGCATACCTTGTTAAAAAAATAAAAGACTGTTTCAATTAGTCATTTTAAGCATGTGATGATATCCGGATGACAACATTTTTACAACTCAGTGGAGGCCATCTACCTTTTACAAATGTGATAATCATTATTCACTCCAACTGTCCTGTCTATCCTTTCAGGTTGTGTGATTGACTTTTCGCTGGCATTGGAGAAGCAGCAGGTAGCATATAACAGATTCTGCAGCATGCAACCACAGCTCTGATCATTCTGCCCTCTTTTCCCTTTGTTCCTAACCATAGAGTGTCCTGCCCTTACATCCCTACAGGGTGCATTCTGCACCCCCCATCCTCTATGCATTCTCTCCCAGGTCGAAAGGGCACAGACCATAGGGTTTCCCCCTTCTGTTGTTTTAAAAAAGCCCAAAGGAAAGAAGCTAATTACACTGCAGCCTTTCTCAGCTCGCCTCTACACACAACTTCTAAAAAATAAATAGGTTAATTAAGATTTAACACAACACAAATGTGACTTTCTCAGTGAAGTTCAGAAGCCAAGATGATTCTCAAAAGTCTTATGTGTACAGTCCAAGTAAGATACTTCATCTATTTCACATTGTCTCCTAATCTTCTGAGTTTCACTTGTTTTGCAAAGCATCCTCTCATTGTTTCTTTAATGCTCTGCTCATTGCTGCCTCGTGGGCTGGGGATTGAAAGTTGCTATAATGTCGATTCTATTTTTACTGCAGCCAAAGGGGAGGGAATCAAAAACAAGCCATAAAGCTTTTATAGCCTCCAATTAGCACATCAGAAATCACAATAAGGGCAGGACACAACAGTGACGCAAGAAGGATCAGGGCTGGATGGCATCAGAGAGACAGCAGCAGACAACAAAAGCAAGCAAGTATAGAAGACTCAGAAGACTTGGTTATCAATGATAACTGGCTAGTAACTAAGAACCCACACTGGCTGTTGAAGGATGGTTCATGTTGAAGGGGGCAAAACTGCAAGGGAAAATGAAAAATGTTTGTCTTTTTTGTATAACTTGAATTCAGTTTAAATGAAATTCCACAGTGTTCAATTTATGTTTAACATCCTAGTATTTAAAATGTATACACACACAGGCAGCTGTGGCTCAAGTGGTGGAGTGGGGTTGTCCACTCTAGAGAAAGGTCTGTGAGCACCTTGCATGGCAGCCCTGTCACCATGTGGGTGTGAATGAGAAACACATTGTAAAGCGCAGCAAAAAATTGCTATAAAAATGCAGACCATTTTTCACTTGAGCACACACATACATACACATAGATATTTAAGTGTGTGTACTTTATTTTCCCATATAAGGCCAAAACTAGCAGTGTCCATCCATCCATCCATCTTCTTCTGCTTTATCCAGAGTCGGTTCGCGGAGGCAGCAGCCTTAGCAAAGCCGCCCAGACTTCCCGATCCGCACACACCTCCTCCAGCTCTTCCGGGGGGACCCCTAGGCATTCCCAGGCCAGTCGAGAGGCATAACCTCTCCAGCATGTCCTGGGTCTTCCCTGAGGCCTCCTCCCGGTGGGACGCGCCCAGAACACCTCCCCAGGGAGGCGTCCAGGAGGCATCCGAAAAAGATGCCCGAGCCACCTCAGCTGGCTCCTTTTGACGTGGAGGAGCAGCGGCTCTACTCCGAGCTCCTCCCGTGTGACTGAGCTCCTCACCCTATCTCTAAGGGAGCGCCCAGGCACCCTGCGGAGGGAAACTCATTTTGGCAACTTGTATCTGCGATCTTGTTCTTTCGGTCATTACCCAAATCTCATGACCATAGGTGAGAGTAGGAACATAGATTGACCGGTAAATCGAGAGCTTTGCCCCTTTGCTCAGCTCTCTCTTCACCACGATGGTCCGGTACAGCAACTGCAACACTGCAGATGCTGCACTGATCCGTCTGTCAATCTCACGCGCCATCCGCCCCTCACTAGTGAACAAGACCCCGACATACTTGAACTCCTCCACTTGAGGCAAGGACTCTCCACCAACTCGGAGAGGGCAAGCCACCATGTTCCGGTCGAGAACCGTGTTCTCAGATTTGGAGGTGCTGATCCTCATCCCACTCGCCTCACACTCAGCTGCAAACCACCCCAGTGCACGCTGAAGGTCCTGATCTGATGAAGCCAACAGAACAACCTCATTTGCAAACAGCAGAGATGAAATTCTGTGGTTCTCAAACCGAACCCCTTCCTCCCCCTGGCTGCGGCAAGAAATTCTGTCCATAAAAACAATGAACAGAACCGGTGACAAAGGGCAGCCCTGGCGGAGGCCAATGCACACTGGGAACAGGTCTGACTTACTACTGGCAATGCGACCCATGCTCCTGCTGCATTCGTAAAGGGAACGGACAGCCCTTAACAGAGGGCCCCAGACTCCATATTCCTGAAGCACCCCCCCACAGGACGTCACAAGGAACACGGTCGAACACCTTCTCCAGATCCACAAAACACATGTGGACTTGTGTGGCGAACTCCCATGAGCCCTCGAGCACCCGATGGAGGGTATAGAGTTGGTCGAGTGTACTGCGACTGGGACAAAAACCAGACTGCTCCTCCTGAATCCGAAGTTCGACTCCTCCTCTCCAGTGCCCTGGAATAGACCTTACCGGGGAGACTGAGGAGTGTGATCCCTTTGTAGTTGGAACACACCCTCCGGTCCCCCTTCTTAAACAGAGGGACCACCACCCTGGTCTGCCAATCCAGAGACACTGTCCCTGACTGCCATACGATGTTGCAGAGACGTGTCAACCAGGACAGTCCCACAACATCCAGAGACAGGTATTTAGGACGGATCTCATCCACCCCCGGAGCTTTGATGGATGAGTCTGCCTCTGAGTCCACAGTCTCTGCTTCCTCTTCGGAAGACTTGACGGTGGGATTGAGGAGACCCTCGAAGTATTCCTTCCACTGCCCGACGACCTCCTCAGTCGAGGTCAGGAGGTCCCCACCCGCACTGCCGACAGTGTTGGTGGAGAGCTGCTTTCCCCTCCTGAGGCGCCGGAATTTCTTCGAGGCTGACCGATAGTCCTCCTCCATGGTCTCCCTGAACTCTTCCCAGACCGAGTTTTTGCCTCTGTGACTGCCGCACACTTGGCCTGCCCATACCTGTCAGCTGCCTCAGGAGTCCCACAAGCCAAAAATGACAGGTAGGACTCCTTCTTCAGCTTGACGGCATCCCTTACTTCCGGCTGAACTAGCAGTGTGTTACTTTTGATTTTCCACAAATACTTAAATCAAACCATGATTGGTACAATACAATTACATCACAAGAGTCTAAATGTTTCAATGCAGTTTCAAAATGCACTCTGCAGTGTCATTTTTTCTGCTAGAGGAGTAATGACTTTTTAAAAATCTAGTTATTGATTTTGTTGGTGTAAAAAATGGTCAGACTTAAATGTCCCAATTACTGACAAATTTTTTTCATACAGACCACACCCACATTGCTGAAATTATAGAGGGAATGGCTCGAGTGTAATCAGTATTACCTACAATCTGTCTCCTAATGCATTTTGACCATGTGTATGATTCTACTCTAGATACAAATATGCATGTACTGCATACTTTGATAAATAAATAAATGTAAAAATATTCCTTTCAACAAATGATTTCAAACAAGATGTTAAAGTTAAATACAGATAATGCCTGCACGAACAGTCCTCCGTTAACTTAGATTGTCTGTTTTGGTTTTTTTTTTATAAACTAAGCCTATCAGCTTTCTTGAAAGGATCCCCCCAAGGCACCAGGTAGCACAGCTCATGCCTCAGAAAGCAGAGAAGTCAAAGCTTTGATATGAAGGAGAATCCAGAAGTTACTGCAAGCACTCTTACCGAGTTCACTGGTATTGTCACCACTCTGCGAGACATGTCCCCCGCTGGATGGTCCTGGGGTGCCTACAGAGGGTGTGGAATGGGTGTCATCCATGTCTCTCCAGGACGCTGGGTTCTGAGAGGTCAAGGAGAGGTTCACACACCAGGGAACAAGAGATAGGGAAATGGAGCAAAAGGCGAGAGAAGAGAAACAGATGAGGACGGTCCAGTAAGGTCCAGTTTGAGGTCCATTATGTAGTTTTCCGAAGACACAAAGACAGTGTGTTGGCATTATTAGCATAGCAAGGCAGCAACCAAGTTGTCAAAAATGTGAGACAAGAACAAAATTGCCATTCTTTCTTATAGAAAGGTTAAAGTAAAGCTACAGAAAGAGTAGAAGCAAGAGTTTACACGGCAGTTTAGCAGCTCTGCAGCACTTGGGCCCTCTGAGGTGTTTCTGTGACCAGTGTTGAGGAGAATTGCTGTATTTATTGGGCTGACCAGCCTGGCCACTCAGAAAGACATAAGACTAAACTAACAGCAGATCTCCCTCTTCAGCCTCTCTGCGTCAGCTGTTTGCCGGATGGTGATCAGATGAAGAGCTTGGCAGATGACAACAAGAAGCACAGGGACAATGGCGCAGTGTGAATGAGTCCTCTCAATGATGGACCCTCTTTTCTTATCCAGCCCCACCATAATTACAACTCCTCCATACACACAGCTACTTAAAGAGGTGTCATGTGTTTTCATGTTTATCAAGATAATAGGCTTGCTTCCTACTGCCCATCTGTTAAAACCCAATTAACAGGAATGGAGCTGAGTGTACAGACAGGAGCAGCTTGTTTATTAGATTCATACACAGATGAAGAGAACTGAACCAAACATTGATGCCTATTTACCTTGTACAGTAGTTCTGTGCCTCATACTTGCATCCATTCCTTTCCATCCCTACACCAAATGACCACCAGCAGCAAACATAAGGTTAAAATACTTATCGAAATTTACTTAACAAATTGTACACAAGCTTTATGTTATAGCACCCTTCTATATTAGAAGGACCAAATGAGAGTGGAGTGGTTCTGTGTTGCCAGAAAAGTATAGGCATTGTTTAATGAAATTATGGGATTTAACTACTGCATTAGTTCCTGTGAAAAGAAACTAGAGCAGTTTAAGGAGGAGTTACAACCACTGCCAGTGGATTAACAGATACTCTAACTTTTTAGGTACATTTTAGTCTATTTGCTACTCTTGCACAGAAAGGAAATTTGACAAATTTGACTTTGGTTTTGGGGGCTAATTTTAGGATTGAACAGCTGTGTTTTCATGTTTAAAGCACTGACTGATTCCTAAACTCCCTGTTTTGATTCATCTATCCATCCATTGTCTATACACCGCTTAATCCTCACTAGGGTCATGGGGGTGCTGGAGCCCATCCCAGCTGACTCAGGGCGAAGGCAGGGGACACCCTGGACAGGTCAGCAGTCTATCACAGGGCTACACTTAGAGAAAGGCAACCAAGCACACTCACATTCACACCTACAGACAATTTAGAATCACCAATTAACCTCAGCATGTTTTTGGATTGTAGGAGTAAACTGGAACATCCGATGAGAACTCACACTGCACAGGGAGAACATGCAAACTCCACACAGTAAGATCCCAGGCCCAGGCCAGGACATGAACCAGGGATCTTCTTGTTTTGATTCCAATCATGTGATTTCTTCCCTGTCAACTCTTAACATGTTTCTCTCCAGTAAATACATAAACACACAGTTTGTGTATTGCTTATGCTAACTGTGAAGGTTTCTTAATATTGTACCAGTGTGAGGGTTACAGTATTGTCTATGTCTGGTGTCAATTACAAATGCATGAAATGTGCATGTTCCATGATGTTTCAATGTTATTTCTACACATTAATATGTTGTAAAATTTTTGACCTCTATTGGAGAGATGGAACACCATCTTTTGATGGTGGTGGAGAGTACTGGCTAACATGACTGTCCCATAAGTATTAGAGTGAGATCAGTTGACTGTGAAACTCAAAGCGTTTAAGTTGCACTGATCAAATCATTGAGCCCTTGTCCCCTGTGGAAAGGGGCACACACACACACACACACACACACACACACACACACGCACACACACACTCAAACCCACACAAGCCTTTTTCTGTTTTAATTTTGTTGTATTTAGCTTATAGCTCATGGCAATCAGGTATCTCAAATTATTAGGACATTTCCTGAGGTCAATCAAAAAAATAAAAAATACAATACAGAATTGGAAATTTCTGAAAAGTATGTCAATTTATGCACTGAATAATTGATTGCGGCTCCTTTAAAACAAATGGTGAAGATCATCCCATGTTACTGCTGAGGTATTATTGAAGCCCAGGTTGATTTGATAGCAGTCTTTAGTTCATCTGTATTTTTGGGTTGGGTGTTTCTCATTTTCCTCTTGACAATATCCCATCTGGGTTTATGGGGTTCCAGTCAGGTGAGTTGGTTGGCCAATCAAACCCAGTAATATCCTGATGAGCAAACTATTTGGTAAAAGTTTTGGCACTGTGGGCAGTGCTAACTCCTGCTGGGAAAGGAATTTGACATCTCCATTAAACTTGTCAGCAGATGGAAGAATGAAGTGCACTAAAATTTCCTGGTAGAGGACTGCTTAGGCTTTGGACTTTATAAAACACAGTGGAATTAGAACCAGATTGAATAGAATTGTATAGCTAGATTTTGTTAACTTTAATCGATTCAAATGCTAGGAGTCAATATAAAAATGTTTGAATTAGTTTTTTTTGTTCTGTTTTGTTTTGTTTTACACACAAAAACACCTGTGAACTTTTTTCTTTCTTTCTTTCTTTCTTTCTTTTTAAATCCCTGTGAATAAAATGCAAATCATGCCAGCCTTAGTGGTTAACATGCATTACAACTCTGCTTTTTGTACCTCGGAGACAGTAGCACATTATGCATCAGGCGTTGCATGGCATTACATTACCTTATACACACACACACACACACACACACATAAATGAACATGTATTGTTGCTTGACACAGCATCAAACAGCAAACAACACCCAATATAAACTTTTAGCATGTTTTATTAGATTTTTAAAATGAAATCCAAGCCTGACATCCTTTCAGTTTCACTCTTGCACTATCAGTAAAGATAATATTTTTACATTAAAGGAAGGGCCCTTGTCAGAAACCCTAAAAGGCAAAACAACACTTTCAGGCAAGGAATCCAACAAAATCTTTGTAGCAATTTGAAACCTACCTTCTTCTCAAGAGCACTTAATTTTATTGAGCCCTTGAATGGACTCCAATTTGCAATTTGGCTGTGTCCTATCAACAACGACTTATACGAATTATAAAATATTACGGTGAGTGGCACTTAATACTTAGGAAAAAGGGTCTTCTGGTCATCAGAGAAAATGATCACGACCTTCAGATTTGGGAGGGAAAAAAAGAGGCAACTATCGGAAGCCTTTCCATGAATTTATAGCAAGCAGAGTGACTCACATGATCCGCGAGGTTGGTGGAAGATCCCGAGAGGTCATCGAAGTCCGACTTGCAGACGTCTCGTTCCTCTATGACGAGGTCGATGGGCATTTTGCCTTTGAGGCAGCTGATGTACCGGTGGCAGAAGTTATCACATAACTCATGAACCTGTGAAACCAATTTATTTATTTATTTAATTAACTAATTCTCCGAATTTCAATTGAGCACCATAATAATAAAATGTGAATTCAAACAAACAAATCAAATGGTTGTGCCTTCAAAAGTGTGGATAATCAGAGCGACAATATTCACCTTCTCTAGCTCCAAGAGATGAAACCGTAGAACTTGAATCGCTTGAATCATCTAAAAATCAGAATTATTTGTATTCTTTAAAAATCCAAATTAAAATATCTGATAACAGAACACGACATGGTTTTAGACACGCTCGATGTGTGATGCTATTGATCACTATGTGTTTTTGCTCATTTACACCGTACAAATATTAGTTCTATTTTGTAACGACACTCTAAATATGTCCTGAAGGCACGAGGTTGCCCCGAGCAAATCTGTAACATCCCGCTGTGCGCAGAGAGGAACACGGGGCAGAAAACAGCTGAGAATCAAAGGAGAGCGAAGGAAAGAGAAGAGAGTGCTCACCAGATTATCCAGCTCTGGGTTGGAAGAAAACAAAGGTTTTTCTGCGCGCATCTGAAAGAAAGGAAATGAAAGGCGTCCGTTGATGCTTCCCAACTGATTCAGTTTTTAACTTCAAAAGGAATAAAATAAATTGGGCTATAGTGTTTCAACAATTCATCATAGAGATTAAATTATAACGTAGTTATTTGACTCAAGACATGTTTTGGTGGGATACACATTCGGCTGCAGTACTGAAGATGTTTTGTCTTGTGTCATTCAAGGCTGCTTTAGTTCCACTATGTGCAGCTCCCTATAACTGTGCGCCGTCCTACCTGTTTAGCAAACACGGCTATATCTTCATTGAAGGAGTCGGAGGAGCACACGTCTCCTCCCGCCACCCCAGGCTCTCTGGGCGTGCAGGTAGCCAGCTCACACTTCTCGAACACCAGAGCCAATAGAGGAAATAAAGGGTGGCTGCAACACAGGCGAAAGTGGGCCCGTGTGATTGTATAATCATTGTCAGGCATGAACTTTAGTCTATACATCACAGCACCGGCAGATAGGATTTTACATACAACTTGGCGAGTTTAATTTGTGCAAAACATGTGTGTACTGCGATAGAAAACAAATGCGCCGTCCGGAAAGGATATATATTTCGTTTCCAACGCATTCTGCTTAGAGATTTGTGTCAATTCTCGATCATACTGGACTATAAGAAAAGTAGTTTCATCTTATTTCCAGCAGAAGAAAAAAGAAAAAAAATAGAAATGCATCAACATTACAAAAATCACTGTCAAGAGCACAGTATAGCATTGGTTGTAAAGGGGAAATGAAATTCATTTATTTTACGCCTATGCAAAATGTATGTGAAAAATCATTCTGTCTTTCTGCTTAACAGCTGAACTGAGCCAAGCATTAATTAAAATTTAAAAAAAACCCTATTTAATTTACAATTGTTTTTACATCCCCATACGAAAAATACCGAATTATTATCATTATTATCATTATTATTATTGTTGTTGTTGGTGGTGGTGGTGGTGATTTTGGTATATCCACACCCATAGATTTGATCCTTGTCTCTCTTCAGCACGTCGTTCACGGCGCTGCCCATGCTGTTCGGTAGGATATTGTGCGGCGCGTGGGCTCCATAGTGCTGCGTCGGGTGTGGGGGAGGCCCGTGGTTCAGGTGGTGAACCTGGGGCAAGGGCCGAGGGGCATGAGGGTCTCCATACATTGAGGCAGGAACTCCGACTCCATCCATCGCGCCTCCGTAATGACCGAGCTCCTCATACTGGGATGAAAGTTGAGGATAGCATTAGAGCACGGACAAGTTGAGGAAACTTTTCATCTAAATGCATGAAAAGAAAAAAAAAAAGGTTTAGATGTAAAGGTAAACAACAATACTCCACCATTTTGTTTCTCGTAGTCAGGTATTAGACCTCGTACCCCAGGTACAGTTTATACTGTGTATCAGTATAGTGCAAAAACAGTCGCTGATCAGCTCTTTTTGCGTTAAAGTCCACACTTGTGAAAAATACGGTGTGGACTTTAAATTACCATAGGTTAATTACGTTGGTTTGAAGCATGTAAACGCATCTGTGATTAGCAGGAGTAACCATTTACCCATTTAAATAATGGCAATTCAAAAAGCATCTTAGAGTTACCCTTTGCGCCATCTCCGTGTAGTTTCCTGCCGTGTAAAGAGAAGTTTGGTGTTGATGAGTATTTCGATTAAAAACTTTTAAATCCAGCGGGGAACTCTATTCCTGTTCGACTCTGTGACATGGAGCTTGTCAAAATTGATCGAAAATTATGTTAAAAGATCAAAAACAGGTAGGAAACAACATCTGTCCTCGCGTTAACAAGAATGCCAAAACGCGCAATGATAACTGGCAACCAGGTTTCGAGTGATTCCTCAATGAGGGGATTAGAGATAATCTGTCAGATCTGGGTCTTTGATCAAGTTTTCAGCATCTGTTTTCCCTCTCACAAGAAGACGCTGAGGGTCCACGAATTAGTCATCAGTTAAGTGTGTCCTCTTGTCCATGTCTCTCCGCGCCTGCAAACTCACTGTCCATAGACCGGCTGTAGAGCTGCTTATCGTATCGCTGTGTGATGTGCAGGGCAAGCACATGACGAAACGCGGTGGCGACGGGCGGGTGCAACCAGTAACTTCCTTCTGACAAGGGTATGTGTTTTAAAACGTTGTCTTCTGGTTCTTACTTTCAAAATAAACCTGGTCTCCTTCAACTTAAGTTTTCAGCAGTTGAGTGCAAATGTGGAATACACAATATGTATTACAAAAACTATAGAAACCCTTTTCCCATCGCCCCTTGCATGTTGTTTTTCTAGACAGTCAATGTAACGCTCTTAAATGATTTCAGATGCAGAACCTATAAATTTAGCTGTCAACCTCAACATGAAGGGTGTGCAGTCGATATGAAGAAAGCATAAAATGGAGAGTGATCACGTTAAGATAGAGTGAGACATCAGTGTTTTTATCCAGCATAGTATCAAATGTAGTGGTTAGCTGTAAGTGGACATCCTATTGTCACAAGCACCTGGTCTAAAACCTTCAGCTGCAGCTGCTTTATAAGGCAGCTTATTTCTTGTTTATTAAGGCGGACTTTACATTCGATGGAACTGGCATTTGTTCTGTTTTTGAACATCTTTGACACAAAATTGAAGTATCTTGTTTACTGTGTTGGATTAGTCTACCTAACTGACTAAAGCACATTCTGCATACTCTAAAGGTAATCTGACAATGCTGGGTGCCTGACAGAAGAAAATAAAAACTCCTAAACCTCTAAAACAATAGTGTGCATTGAAAAGCAGCAGTAATGTAAAGTATAACAGATTGTAAACAGACTATATAACAATAACAACAACAACAAAAGATCTGTTGTTGACCCTGTAGGATACCTTGATCAGTTAAATGAGCGACGGATCCTTTCATATACTGTCAAAACAAAATCCATAGTGTATCTGACATAATATTAGTGGCTTCCATTTGATTTCCAATTTAAAAAATAAGCTTATTCTCTTCACAATGTTCAGTTTTAATGCCTTTATTTTGAAGAGAACACCACCCCGAATCCGGTACAGATGTGTCTGTGTATGTCTGCTTTTTGACGCTCTTCTCGCCTTCTGAATTAATTGGGGCCTGAATGCTGGGCCGGCTTTCAGAGCCCTTCCTATTGGATGAGGTGGTTAGTGGTGTAGAAGATCTGTCAGAATATAGTGTGTTGCGTGTATAGGATAATGCATACATACAGTGGTACGCTTATAACCAAAACTTAATTGTATACACCAGTGATACTACTGCAGTTTCTTCAGTCTTATAACTACAACTGATTAAAATAATAACTGCAACCGCTCAACACCAATGCACTGTATTTATTCAGTGGATAAAATCTCTTTACCATCCTCCTAAAATCAGTGACAGTTAAATCATTTGACTTCATTTATGCTGCAAACTCCAGTTATGAAAACAACTGACAGGTCTGGCCTGAAAGATGCACTTTTGAAAATGTTCAAATCTGTCTTCAGATTTCAAAATCTTACTGAGCTTGGAAACCAAAAGTAGCAGCTTCACAAGATGTTTTATAAACCTGAAACACAGTTCTTTTAACAGAGTCTTAAAATGTTATGTGTCATAATTCAACTTAACTTATTAACTTGTACAGTTGACAGTAGTAACTGGCTAAGATGTATAATTTGAAACATTGTAACTGCTGTAGTCCATGCTAGTTGTTCTGTTAAAATAGCCAGTGCTATCAGGTTGTGTTAATATAAACATGTGTAATTGCTGAATAAACATTTAGCATAGGTACTAGAGGTCTAGGCTTTCTAACATAGTGAGTACATGCTTATTAATCTAAATGGTACCAGGGTACTTCAAAAAGTTCTCGGCCTCACCTGGAAGCAAGAGATGAAACTACCATTTTAGGGCATAATTTTATATAATAAAGCCTTATGTCACTGTTCACAAAAACTCAAGTGTTTAAAGCAATCAAACAAAAAAAGAGAGGGAAGCTCCCGGCTGGTTGCTGTTGCTTCGAGACAATGCACCCATCCACACAGCACAGGAGACAGAAACAGCCAAATGTGGCTTTGAGCAGTTTGCTCGTGCACCTCACTCACCCTACCTGCACCACCTGACTTCTATCTGTCTCCAAAACTGAAATCCCACTTGTGTGGTTGCCATTTTCAGAGTGATGATGAAGTTACATGCTGTTGAGGAGTATCTGAAGGCTAAAGATGTGAACTTCTGCTGCAAAGGGATAGTGAAACTTGAACACTGGTGGACGAGTGCATGGAAATTAAATAAGACTATTTTGAAAAATAATGCAAGAGCAATCTTTATTCTGTGATGTTTTTTTTTTTTTGACGAGGCTGAGCATTTTCAAATGTACCCTTGTGGGGTCAGCTTTTTGGCTATGTAAATATCAATATATCTGCATCCCCAATGTTCTTGTAAGTAATACTACAGTTGTATGGTTCTTATTTAAATTTAACTTTAATTCTTCACTCCACAATATTTTTTTGCTTCTGCTTTGCGCTATTACAGTTATTTTTATTTTTAGTTGCTTTTATTTTTTAGCTATTTTTATACTTTGTACCTTACTCTATATTTATTGTTGCACCAAACAACCAGAACAAATTCCTCGTTTTGTGTCAACTATATCTGGCAAAAAATCGGTTTCTGGTTCTGATTTCTGATCTCTGTGCAGCAAATCAGCTGTTTATAACATTCTGTGTTTCACTAAACCAGCAGAAACCATTACAGGGTAATGACATCCACTAGGGAGTCTAAACATGAAAATATTTAATAATTGTGTGTGTGGACAGTTGTTTGCTAGATTGTATAAAGTTGTCAGGTAGACTAGAGTGCATCAGAGCAGAAGTACTGAAAATACATTAGGAGCAACAACAGGTAACGTAAGTTGCAGTGACTTCAGCTTGTCGTGCAGCACTTAACAATTGACTGCAGTTCCACTGGCATGACTCTGGAATGATGTATCTACAACAAACAAAAAAGCTATTTGAAACTAGTGTAGGTCTGTGACAGACTGGCACCCTGCCTACCCTGTCATAGTTTCCAAAAAGTTTAAAGAAACAAATAAACATCTCTGATTTTTTTTTTGATCTGAAAGAGAGCCACCTTAGGCCTTTCATAGTAGTTTGGAAAGTCCAAGTCACAGCAGGACAGAGAATACAATAGCTTGATGTTGCAGAAATATATTCCATGACTTTAACTTGGTGCATATGACTGTTTTATGTTTATTTACAAAGTGTTTAAAATTAATAGTCTGAGTTGTGTTGCTTTAACCCCACTGTGCAAAGTTTGTCAAATAAAATGCAGAAGTTAATATCTATCTACTTATTATTGTTACTACTATTATTATTACTATAAGTCATAGCAATGACAGGTGGTAGTAAGCGTTTGTTTATTTGTTTGTTTGTTTGTACTGTTAGTAGCATTACACCACTTTTTTAATGTACAAGTATTAGAAAAAGAAAATGTAGATGCTGAGTCATGTAGTGTCTAAAATCTTTCTCAAATGATAAACAGAATTTAGAAATTGTAAATTTGCCAGCACATGGATAGTTACACAATATTTGGATTTTTTGATCATACCTAAATATATATCAAGATTAATCCATCAATGCAGGCAACACAATTGTCTGTTATTTAGATGTTTTTTTTTGTTTGTTTGTTTGTGTTTAGTTTTTTTGTTGTTGTTTGTCTTTTTTAACATAATATCTTTTTCTCCAGTGATATATTTATTGTGATCTCCATCAAGCTTTGTTACCCTAACCCAAAGCCACACACTTTGGTTGACAGCTTTTTGGAATTCGGTTAACAACCAAATTCTTTAGGCATACCGTAAATGATATGAACTCATCACTATTATTCCTAAATGTGTCATTTTATAATATGACATGAACATACAGAAATGAATGCGCAGTTCTACCATAAAAAACAGTAAGTTAAACATTTAATTAAATGTAAGATTAGTTGAATGTAAGAAACAGACTGTTCAAAAAAAAGACATTTAATCACCATTTATAATGATGACACTTGTTGAGATACAGTATAAAAATGCAACAAAAGGACATATATAATCCAATCGTAATTTACAAAAATGGGTTTTTATTTTAGTTTCTTATTCCAGCTGCAGTGTCTTCATTAGCTGTTTCTTTCTTCATCATTCACATTGAAAAAGCATTTGCTTTAATAGTGGAATATTTCCAGCATGTTATTTTCTGATCAAAATATCTCACACACTTTCTTTTGATATCCTCTCTCTGTGAATTATTAAAGACATATATTTGAATTATAAATACACTAACTCTAAGGAAACAGGCAAAACATGCACCATGCCCCAGGCTATATCTCTCCTCATCGCATATCATTTCCATGTAGTCTCTCTGTTTCTTTCTCTTTCTGCTTTTCCTCCTTTGTGTTTACCTCCCTTCCCTCCCGTCCTCTGCACACACCCTCCCACTACCCTTGCCAGCCAATGTGATCTGAATAGAGGCTGATTCAGGGTGTCAGGCCCTGTCTTAAATGTAATAAATTACCATCGAACTGGGGAACAGTGCATCCATCCCAACACCTCACCAGAGAAGGAGCTTGTGCACCACCATCCTTGACCTCCTCTTCTATCCCACATTCTTCACACACATACACACAACTTGTCCTCCAATTCCCCATGTACACCACAGTCTTCTCCATCATCAGCCAGTCCTGGTTTGGCTGACTCTGTCACTTGTCATCCTATTCCCCAGTGAGAATCATTAGCATTGTCAGAACTGACTGGGAAAGGAGGCCAGCAGGGACCTGTTTGGAAGGTGGGGGTGTATGTGGGAGAGAACAAATGTGGTAATATGCATGTCTACAAAAATACGTATTTGTATGTACTGCAG